TCTTATTGAAGCCTAACTTTTGGGCAAAAATCTTCCAACTACTCTTTGACTTCATCAGCTTCTGCAGCTCTTCTTTCATGTTCGAGCACTCCTTTTCAAGTTCTGAAACACGTTGCTTCATGTCATCAACAACTATGACACGATCTTTTGCACTGTCCATTTTATGAGACACATCATTCTTGAGAAGTCCAAGGTTCGCACTAAGATTTTGAGAATTATCAAGATCGTCAGAAACAAAGAACCACCCAGAAATTGATGTTCGGAGACGTAGTTGCTCAAAGAAGAGGACTTGGACAATTGCTCGAAGAGGTAGCCTCTCATTCTGGGCTGCATGTGTGCTGGCTTCCAATGAGAGCTTCTGGCAGTTCATTAGTCTGCAGAGTTGCTCTCTTTCAGAATCTGTAATCCAAGGATGCGCCTGAAGTTGTGAAGTATTAAGTATTAAGTAAATAGTGGACTAGCAATTCTAATTCCTATACCAAGAAGCAAAGGTTCCAAATGTAAACAAATTCCATAAAGTAGTGGCAAACTTTTTAATAAATTAACTGAAACTTATGTGCAAGATGAAATAGGAAATTAGAGACAAGTCATGTATTTTACAAAAATTTACCTTCAAGTACACGTCTATTGCATGATAAAGGCCGTCATTAAGTGGTCTGGCAAAATCTGGAATTGCAGCAGCTAGCGCCTCAAACTTGGGAAGCTTTAAATTAACATCTGGAGCCACTTCAGCTAGATATCCATCTATAAGGGTAGCAACCATTGGCATAGGCGTTAGTGAATTAGAGCCATTCACCAACTGCTGCACTTCAACTATGCAAGGTGAAGGTGCTAGAGATGTCTGCTCAACAGACATGAAGTGATCAAGGATCCTTTGAACACATTCTATATCATAAAGGGTCTCCGAGTAACCCATATTCGGTATGAGAAGATCAACAAGTGAAGCTTGGTCCAACTGAGCTCCCACCCTCTTCTCTAAATTTTCTCTACACAATGGACTTGCATGCAAAACCATAGCAGTACGAAGCAGCCTAAGCAGAAATTTGGTGGAAGTGACTCCTTTCTTATTAGGAAGTAACTCCACAATCTGTTCCAGGAGAGTTCTTTGATCTACCTCAGAAGGGTTTGAAAGAGCCATCCCTGGGTTGGTATGGTTTGCATCATCGAAGCTTGTTTGTCTATTCATCAATGGTAGATACCTCTTAGCATAGTGTATAAGAGATGAAGCAATACCCTCAGGTTTCATGCCTCTTGATTCAAGAGCTAAAATTAGTCGTTTATATAGCGGTAAGCTAAGGAATGATACATCTGAATACCACCAACCATCACCACTAGGTTGTTTCTTAGTTTCAGTTGTTATTCCATTCCACAAGTTGGGGTTTTCTGGGCTCTGCTTATTTTCATTTCCTAACAAAGACCAGTTGAATAAGCTTGGATCTGCACAAGCTTTGATTGCCAAAGAATCAATGCACCTTGAGACAATATGAAGCTCTTCCGCATGTGGTAGAACTTCTTCACATGTTTCAAGTGCTTTTATTGAGTCTGTCCAATGGCTGAATATGTCATTAAGCAATGCCTCTGTTTGTGAAATGAGATTTCCTTCTCCATAGTTATCATTCATTTGCAGGTACTCTGCTGCAGATCTAAGACTAACCACATTGAAAGCACTGATTTCAATTTTAACACCATAGCAAAATTTAGTCACGAGCTCAAACGCTTTAGCTCCACCAGGTATGTCATCGAGTTTCAAAATACAAATTGATCCACTCTCGCTAGAAGAATCTTCTATGAGCTTCTCAAGTAGCCCACTTCTTGAGATTAATGGAAACTATAGTAGATGCAAAAATGAAGATAAAATACTATTTTCAGTGATTCAGCTTAGAAATTAATTGAGTTAACTTGATGATTGAAAATAGAGAGAGAATCATTACAAAGACTAAATACAACAAAATAAAATGCACCTTGTGGAGATGGAATGACATTTCCCCAACCTCAATGGTTACATCACTTTGAAGTCCAGTAGTGCAAATCCTGAAAATGAAATAAGGTGTATTAATATCCATAAAACTGGTATTGACATTTGGTCAAAAAATACCCATAAGCCATAAAACTGCTGTCGAACCCTTCTTAATCAACAATATTGATTGCAAAAAGATTGTAAGAAACTACTTCTTTGGTTTTAATACACCCTGCCATCTCGTTTTTCTCCTCTAATTACAGGCGTTCAATTCAAATGGCAAATGCATGCTTGCCGATCACTTCATACATTTCTCCAGTGTTATCTGAATCTAATTAGGTTTCAGATTAATTAAGACGTGAAGTAACCCTCCATGCAAGCAGAAATAATGTCATCTTAGGGTGCACTCTAAAACCTGAAAGGAGGGTGCTAATTGTAAATACAAAACTATTATCACAGTATCCATGAATCCCAACGTCCATCAAGAGCTTTGCAGCATTCTGGGGATATTGCAGTAGTAAGTACAAATACAGATACCTAGATTTCAAGCGTATAATCTTCAGGACATATCACATGAGTATATGTACAACCCAAGTAGTCCAACATATATATATATATAATCAAATTATGAGTCAAATATCTTTAAAAAAATCGCAGAATGATCCAAATTAACTAAAATAACGAAACCTACTCTGCAAGCAGCATTTTTCAGTTGACGAACCTTATGTTGGCATTTATTCAAACACTTTGCACAGTTCACAAAAATGGCAATAAAAAATATATATAAACACTGGTAGAGCACCCCAAACCGTCATAAGATTAAGAACCCATCTTTTAAAATCCATAACCCATGTGGTTTACACATTCACACAAAGAATTCAAGCATATCTGCTTACCAAGAATGTCCTTCACAGTGAAAGGCTTCAGATTTGGAGCCGAGCCTCAAGCAAGCCATGAATTATTGGAGTTTTGGCAGAGGAAAGCTTGGAACTTTGAATTACACGGCAAGTAAAACGAGGGTGATATTGATGTGGAGGATGGCAAAAGAAAGAAAAGAAAAAGGAGGATTGAGTGAATGATGTCCAAAAGCGGATCTCATTGTAGAAGTTCTTGGGATATAAAAATGCTGGGGTAGCGAGTCTAAAGCAAGAAGTGAAGGAGAGAAGGGATAGGGCTCCAGTTGGCTTCCTCTAGAGCTTTTGCTGACTCCGATCTCCTTCATTTTTGGCTGGCCCTTTTTTATTCAATCTCCTCGTTCATGTCTCTTATATTAAGGATTTTGTTTCTTTGGTCCATATAAGCAAAGATATTATTATTATATTATTATTATTATTTTGTGAATAGCAAAGATACTAATTACTTCTACTCCTCTCTTTCAATTTATTTTGTAGAAATTTTCACATAGATTAAGAAAGTTATTTACGACTAATAGCCTTCAATGTATGAATAATCAAGATTAAGTTTATCAACATATCCTTCAAATATATGTAAAAGAAAGATTTTTTTCTCCCGTCCTCTAAAATCCCTAGGGTTTTGGGGTGGCGGGCTTCTCCTCGGGTCTTGTCTTCAGCTTCGGAGCTCCCTCTCCTTTCTTTTCTTTTACCTGCATCTGCTCCACTTGCTTGCCCTTTCCCTTGTTTCTTTTCAATTTCCCTTTCCGTTTCATTTCAATTCTTTCAAATTTGGGGAGTGATCAATGGGAGGCTGTTTTAGATCTATAGGACAAATTGCTAGGGTGGAGGTGGATTGTTTCAGTGGGTTGAAGACGGCTAGGATGGCTACAGATTGGTTAGGTGGTTTGCGGCTGGATAGGGTTCGGTGATTCAATTTATATCTAGGAACAATAGATGAAGGAATTAGAATC